ACGACGACGACGAGGGAGGAGGAGGAAGGGAGACCACCTGCGCCAACGACGACGGAAACGACCACGACGCCAAAGAGGACGACGACGACGAACACGAGGAAAGACAGAGCACGACGTAGGCGACGACGACGACGACAACGCGGGAGGAGGGAGGACGGCGACGGCGACGACGACGACGACGCAAGAGCGGGCGCGTACGCTTTTGTTGAAAATCCGTGTTGCGAAACCTTGGGTTGTCGTAGGTTTTGTGGACACACGATATGGAAATCCTTCCGAAACCGATAGGTTTTGAAGGTTTTCGGCATACGCCCGCGACGACGCGTGCGTCTGCACTTCGTCCCATTTTTTGCAGAGGATTCTCGCGACGGCACACGCGCAAGGGCGCTCGACTGATTTCGACATGCGCACGCGAAGCCCGTTTGGTAGCATTTTGTGAAGATCTTGAAAAACCTATGGCTTTCTTACGATTTCGCAAGAGCTCGCGCGGAAACTTTTTTAGCAAATCAGTGTTGCGAAACCTTGTGTTTTTGTATGTTTTTTTGGAGCTCGATTGCGAAATCTGTCCGGCACCGTGGGTTTTTGAAGGATTTCGGCATGCGCGCGCGACGACGCGCGCGATACCGTTTCCCCTGGGATAGCGTAAATTCATATTTAGGATGGACATGTGGTCAGAAACATATATGATTCACATGCCCGAAAGGCGGGCGGATAACGCCGGGGGGGGGTAGAGTGTATTCTTTTTTAAGAACGGAGGATCTATGTGGTTAAGCTTTGTGGTGCAATCTATGTGATGCAAGCTATGTTGTGCAATCTGTGTGGTGCAGCGTATGTGGTGCGATCTGTTTGGTTTCAGGTGGTACGACTTTCGTGGTGTAAACTATGGGGTGCAATCAATCACTTGCTCAACTTGAAGCTGTCCTTTCCACTGCTCGCGCAAACATCCCACCCTCCCACCCGCAACTTGGTTTGCAAAACCTCTTGAGACCGACTACGACGACACCGACGACAACGACGACGACGACACCGACGACGTCTCCGACGACTTCGACGACGACAAACGACGCCGACGCCGACGACGACGAAGGAGCCGACGACGCCAACGAAGGCGACGACGAGGGAGGAGGCGGTAGCGACGGGACGACAACGACGACAACGACGAGGGAGGAGGGAGGACGGCGACGACGCGAACGACGACGAAGGAGGAAGGACGGCGACGCCGACGACGACAACGACGAGGGAGGAGGGAAGACGACGACGACAACGACGACGACGACGGTGACGAAATAGAACCGACGACGAGACGCCGACGACGGACGACGACGACGACGACGTGGGAGGAGGAGGACGGACGACCACGGCGACAACGACGACGGAAACGACCACGACGCCGGAGAGGACGACGACGACGAACACGAGAAAAGACAGAGGACGACGTAGGCGACGACGACGACGACAACGCGGGAGGAGGGAGGACGGCGACGGCGACGACGACGACGACGCAAGAGCGCGCGCGCACGCTTTTGTTGAAAATCCGTGTTGCGAAACCTTAGGTTTTTGTAGGTTTTTTGGCGAATACGCACGATTTTGAAATCCTTCCGAAACCGATGGGTTTTGAAGGTTTTCGGCATACGCCCGCGACGACGCGCGCGTGTCCACGTCGTCCCATTTTTTGCAGAGGATTCTCGCGACGGCACACGCGCAAGGGCGTTCGACTGATTTCGACATGCGCGCGCGCGAAGCCCGTTTGGTAGCATTTTGTGAAGGTCTTGAACAACATATTTTTTGCTTACGGTTTCGCAAGAGCTCGCGCGGAAGCTGTTTTAGCAAATCAGTGTTGCGAGACCATGTGTTTTTGTATGTTCTTTGGAAACTCGATTGCGAAATCCTTCCGGCACCGAGAATTTCTCAAGGTTTTTGAAGGATTTCCGCATGCGCGCGCGACGACGCGCGCGTGTGCACGTCGTTTCATTTTTTGCAGGGGACTCGCGAAAAAGTGTTATGTTAGAACAACGAAAGTCACCGCATCTTTTTTTTTTACAAGGGAACCTCAGGGGGGGACACCGGTTTGGCTGGGATGCTATGATTTCATATTTAGGATGGACGAGTGGTCAGAATCATATATAATGAACATACCCGAAAGGGGAACGGATAAGTCCAGGGGGGGGTAGAGTCTATTCTCCTTTTAGACAGGAGAATCTACGCGGTGCAGTCTGCGTGGTGCGGGTATACACCTGGAGGACAATACAAAGATGGGAGAGCAGCTACTCGAGAACACCAAGTATTTCACCATGGACGAGCCGACCGAAGCACTGAAGGCCCTTGCTATTGGCACAGCGGCAGGACACGACGGGGTAACCTCATAATTTTGGAAGCTACTCCGTCTCTCGACTACTGCATGTAAGCATCTGTTAGCAATTTGCCAGGAATGTTGGGGAAACAACCCAGCTTCGTGGCGAATTGCAGCGGTGGTGCTGCTGTTCATGAAAGGGGACGCGCAATTTACCAGAAACTTACCGGCCAATCTCCCTTCTCCCGGTTGGCTACAAGGTGCTGGCCTGGATGATCAAAAAAACGATTGCAGCGAGGAGGAGCAGAAGGCAGATTACGACAGCCGCCCTTGATGCCCTTGATGCCGCCCTTGGTGCCTTTGGAGGTTGCGGGGGGGGGGGGGGGCAGGGGCATTTGTTGATGAATCGTTAAACGGTAGGTTGAACAGGTGGACCTGGCGCCGTTTTGGCTCTATGAGCGTCTTCTTGGGGTCTCTTGCGACAGATGTTGACATGCCACGGTTATGCCATCGGGGAGGGCGATGGGGGAGGGGGGAGGAGGGGGAAGGAGGGGAGGGGGTGGGGGAGGGCGAGTTAGGTGCGCTCGCGTCATATCTGACATCCTACCCCTCCCTCGCATCCGTTACCATGGCGTAGATCCCCTCTCTACTCGCACAATCGGATGTCGAGCAGGGCAATGATCCCGAAAAGGGTACGCGATGCATTGTAGAGCGCGGCGTGGCGTGGCGTAGAAGAGCACCGCGCAGCGTAGTATGTCACAGCATGGCGTGGCGTGGCGTAGTGAAGAATTGCGTCGCAAAGCAATGCAACGCAAAGCATGGCATCGCACAGCGGCCCCGAACGTAACATTGCATAGCATGGCGTTGAAGATCAAAGCGTCGCATGGCATAACACGACGTGGCACTTAATCACTGCATATCACAGCTTCAGTTGAAGGCATGGCATCGCGCAGCGGAACGCAACCTAGCATTGTATTGCATGCCGTGGCATGGCACGGGAAATGACGCCAGCGCTGCAGCAGGAACACGATTCGGAACGAGCGGAAGCGCGGAAATGAACCCACCGCTGCAGCGGGATCGCGATTCGGAACGAACGGAAACACGGAAATGAGGCCAGCGCTGCCGCGGGAACGCGATTCAGAACGAGCGGGGCCCGAAAATGAGGCCGGCGCCTCGGCGACAACAGCATTTTGAACAAAAGTGCAGGCGAACACCCAACTCCGGGGAATCCTGTGTGTAAAAAGCAGTACCGCGGGGGGGGGGGGCGGAACACACCAAACCGTCAATCAGGGGAAGGAGGAGGTAGTATCAATATTGGGTAATTGCGAGGGGTGGGGGGGCGGGGAGGGCTCGGAGGGGGGTGGGGGGGGGGGGAGGGAGTGGAGGGGGATGCGGGGTGGGGGAGGGAAGAGGGGGGGGAGAGGGTGAGGCGGGGGGAGGGGGAGGGGGGGGAGGTGGGGAGCGGGGGGGTGGGGGCTGGGGGGAGGGGGCGGGGGGGGGGGGAGAGGAGGAGGAGGAGGAGGAGGAGGAGGAGGAGGGAGGAGGAGAGGAGGAGGAGGAGGGAGGAGGAGGAGGAGGAGGAGGAGGAGGAGGAGGAGGAGGAGGAGGAGGAGGAGGAGGAGGAGCGAGGAGGAGGAGGAGGAGGAGGAGGAGGAGGAGGAGGAGGTAGGAGGAGGAGGAGGAGGAGGAGGAGGGGGAGGCGGAGGAGGAGGGAGGAGGAGGAGGAGGAGGAGGCGGAGGAGGAAGGCAGGAGGAGGAGCGGGGAGGGGGAACGAGGAGAGGAGGAGAGGATGAGGAGAGGAGGAGGAGATGGAGATGGAGGTAGGTGGAGGAGGAGGAGGAGGAGGAGGAGGAGGAGGAGGAGGAGGAGGAGGAGAAGGCCGCGGAGGAGGAAGAGGAGGAGGAGGCGGAGGAGGAGGAGACGCCTGGCTTTGAGGTATGTTGTTGTGAGAGGCTATTGAAGGACGACGAAGGCCATCTGAGAGGCGCTCTTAGGGCCCCCGTGGGGCCTTCTGGCGCCCTGTTGGGGGCTCTTTGTTGGAGTCTTGTGGCCCTCTTGGGGCTCCTTGGAGGGTCAGGGGGGCCTCTTGGGACATCTTGGCCCCGATGAGTCAAAAAGGGGGGATCCTCAATTCAGGTCCCCCCCTCCCCCCAGAGGCTCGAACAGGTTGTCTCGGGGCCCCTTAGGGGAGCTCTTGGGGCGTTTTTGGGCGTCCTTGTGGCCCTCTCGGGGCCCCCTCTTGGGCACCTCTTGGGGCTCTCGGGGGCTGTCTTGGGGCCATCTTGAGGCCTCCGAAACCCATCGGAAGCGAAAGGGCGAGACGGCAAGCATCATACATTTGGCCTCGGTTTCGGAGCCGGTGTTGCCTCTTGGGGGGGTCCTTGGAGGGCTCGGAGGGCACTTGATACCGTTTTGGGGCCGTCTTGAGGCCTTTTGGTTGTGCGTCGGAGGCTATCTTGAGCCATCTTGGATGCCATCTTGGGGTCTCTGGGGCCCTCCTGGAGCCATACTGGGCGATCTTGGGGGCTGCACCGTCTCGCGCCCCCCCCTCCCAGGCCCAGGGGAGGGGTAGGGACAGGGGTAAACCCTTCCCCGCGCAGGGGAAGGATGGGCTTTGAGAGAGAGAGAGAGAGAACTAAAGAAAAGGAAGAGAAAGATAAAGAGAAAGGGGAAGAGACGAGACACAATCCTTTAACCACCTACGCCCAGAGGGCTGGTGGGATTCGTGAAGCTTCATGCATCCCGGTTCAGGCATCCTGGTTCAAGCAGACTTGGTGCAGCTTCCATTTTGTCCGCAATCAAATCACACACACACACGCGACAACACTTGGCTTGCGGGTCCTTTCTTTTCTGTTCCGTGGGATGGCGGTCCAGAAGGCGCCTTGGACCGTGTGGTCCGTGGTTGCAGTCGTCCTCAGCATCAGCGCACCCACTGTGACTTCGATCGGTGTGAGTTCCAAGCCAGAGTGTGCAGATGACGACGCCCAAATTATTGCGCTGGCAAGCGGCATCGGCGTCACTATCAGTGGTTGTGCTGCGGTGCAGCCTTATTGCGAAGATGCGAAGTATGGCAGCACTGTGAAAGCGACCTGCCCTGCAACGTGTGGCCTCTGCAGGGTGGCCAGCCCCAGCAGCTCCCAGGCGGCTGAGGTACTGATGGACAGGAGCTCCAGGGGCTCCCAGGACGCGGATGATCAACGGTCCCTGGACAGAGCTCTGGCAGCGAAAGGGCCCGACCCGACGCCGAGGCCGACGCCGTGGCCGACGCCGTGGCCGACGCGGTACCCGACGCCGAGGCCGACGCCGTGGCCGACGCCGTGGCCGAACGACGCGGGCGACGCCGAAGCAGACGCCGAACCGACGCCGAACCCGACGCAGTACCCGACGCCGCAAGCGACGCCGAACCCGACGCCGAACCCGACGCCGTAGCCGACGCCGACTCCGACGCCGAACCCGACGCCGAACCCGACGCCGAACCCGACGCCGAACCCGACGCCGTACCCGACGCCGAGCCCGACGCCGAACCCGACGCCGTACCCGACGCCGTATCCGACGCCGAACCCGACGCCGAACCCGACGCCGTACCCGACGCCGTACCCGACGGCCTTCCCGACGCCGTACCCGACGGCCTTCCCGACGCCGTACCCGACGGCTTTCCCGACGCCGTACCCACAGCTTCCGACGCCATACCGACGCCTTCCGAACGCCGTGTCCCGACCCTATAGCCGAACGACCCCAGCCGACATATACTCGGGGTTGGCCGACGCCACAACCAACGTTTCTTCCCGCAGCTGCTATGGCGGGTGGAGCTGCTGGAGGAGTGGGCCTGCCAACGGCGAGCCCCACTTCAGAATGTTCACGGGCGAGCGGTTCGATTTAATGCAAGGCGGGCAAACATGTTCTGATAAACATTCCCTCGGGAGTGAGGCGCTGAAGACGCATTGCTTCGTGTGCATGGCCGATGAGCGCCGCCGTGGGTGGAAACGGTTCGGATATGTATTTCCAAGACTGAACATTACAGGCTCTGCGAGCAGAGCTAAGCAAAGTTGGAGGGTACCACTACGGCGTACGGCAAAGCGTTAGGACGAGTCCGCAATGGGTTGCTATTGGCCGGGTAGAGCTGAAAGTCGTCCATGGACGCACAAAGAGTGGCATCCTGTACTTGAATGTGTTTGTGAAGCATTTGGGGCGATCAGGGTTTACCGTCGGAGGTTTGCTGGGGGAAGACGACCACAAGGACGCGATGACTCCCCCGGCGTCTTGTACCAAACACATTCCTCTGCTAGAAGCAGTGGCGAGTGGCCAGGTTCCTTCCTCCGAGTCGTCGGTTGCAGCGGCAACCTTCGCGTGACCATGCTGGATACTTTGACACGTGGGTATATGACAAGTACGCCCCGTCGGGTGACGCGTGCGGTAGTGTTTTCCTGCTCTATAGAAAAAGAAATAAGAACCCCTAAGTGCAAGCACTGCTTGGGGAAGAGGCCTCAAAACCAGTTCGCGGATGCAGGACATGATCCCTGGTGCCATCTAGGAGCGTGATGGAAGTGTGGCTTCAGACCGACGCCCCCGAGGCCTTCGGAAAAGTCACGTGGCATCCTACTTCCCCAAGCATCAGTTCTCTCTGCCCTTCCTTCGCCCCCCCTCCCTCCTTTCAGGAGGGACGTACGGCCGATTGCCCAGAGAGGGCGCCTCATCTGTCCTCATTGGTTTTGCGGTCTGCATGCGTCCGCACTTGCGCACATGCCTCACGTGAAGGCTCTTCCCGTTTTGGCCTGTTGAGGTTGTTCTGCCGCCCTCGATGAGGCCGCCGCAAGGCCCGCGCTGGAGCAGAAGGTGCAGGCAAGAATATTGCATTGCATACGTGGCGTTGTCGCGGCGGCGGTAGTCCTTCCGCCGTTCGGAGACACGGCGCCAATGCAATACCCCCTATCGGCAGCCGCACCCCCCACCCCAAAGATGCCTTAGCCCTGGCCTTGCCACTCCACTCCCGTGCTGTCGGAGATTTGGGGGCGAGCCCGAAATGCAACGTGAGATGCACCAACCGGGACATCGTTTCGTTTCGAGCGTGACGTTCGTGAAGTGCGTGCGGGCTAGGCGAGGCGAGGCGAGGCGAAGTCGCGCGAGTTCGCACACTACAGACTCGGAAATATTTCTCCTGACGGCACAACAACGCCCCAGGCACAACCGAAAGACAAACGAAGCCTTCCGCACCCGACCCCGTCCGCCTCGCCGGACATGTGGTCCAAACACCTCCAACCGAACGACAAGCGAAGCCTTCAGCACCCGACCCCGTCCCGCCTCGCCGGACATGTGGTCCAAGCACCCCCCCATAAAATTCTAAACGGGCTCGCGCCAGGGGGAGGGCCCTGGGTGCATCCACTCCTTTACTTCGAATTGTATGAAGGAGTGGGTGGAGCCTGGTTTGGACGATTCTGCTTGGGACGTCCTCAACATCTGCCTGGCTTGGGCCCTGGTTTGGCCTGGTTTGGCTTGGTTTGGCTCGGTTGGGCGCCGCAAGCCACCTGAGACATCCTCCGAATTTGCTTGGTTTGGCCCCTGGTTTGGCCTGATTTGGGTCCGGTTTCGCTTGAGACGTCCTCAACATTTGCTTGGTTTGGCATGGTTTGGGCCCGGTTTTGCTTGAGACGTCCTCTTTGCTTTTTTTGGCTTGGTTTGGGCTTGATTTTGTTTCTCACAATTTGCCTGGTTTGGGCCTGGTTTTGCTTGAAACGTCATCACAATTTGCTTGGTTTGGCCTGGTTTGGGGGTCGGTTTCGCTTGAGACGTCCTCACGATTTGCCCGGTTTGTCCTGGTTTGGGGGTCGGTTTCGCCTGAGGCTTCCTCGCAATTTGCCTGGTTTGGGCCCAGTTTCGCTTGAGACGTCCTCGCAATTTGCTTGGTTTGGCTTGGTTTGGGCCCTGTTTCGCCTGAGACGTCCTCGCAATTTGCCTGGTTTTGCCTGGTTTGGGTCCTTCTTCGCATGAGAAGTCCTTGCAATGTGCAAGGTTTGGCCTTGGGAACCGCGAAGCTCTTGCAACACCCCTGGTTCGATTTGGCGAGAGCGCACGTCAACTTCGTCGTAGTCGTCGTCGTGGTCGTCAAAATCACCATCGTCGTCGTCGTCGGCGGCGTCGTCGTTGGGGGGGGCCGACGCTCCGGGACACAGTATATTATGTCACGTGGTGCAGGGAAATGAAGGAAACGATTCATTCGCACACGTGGTGGGCGTATACATTCGGGACGTTATGGCCCTTAGGTGTTCCCAAGACGCATTGGGTAGTGTCGATGTGTGTCTGACAAGGAACTAACATTTCACTCACGTCGTGGGTGCAAACACGGGAAACGGGGCGGTGTGTGCGGCGTGTACTGAACACACATACTGGCTCACATTCCGCACTGTTGTGCTACAGTATAACAGGGGCATTGGGTGTGGGCATCCGAAGCGCAGTGTGTTCGGCCAGCCCCTGCACCACATAGTGCAACCATCGCTCACACAAATCCTCCTGTTATTCGGCATTGGACCATGTGGCGGCGTAAGGAGAAAACCTTTCCGAGCCTGTAGTTAGAGGCTAGGGTCAAGTCAGACAAATGAGGCGCCCCACGCGGCGGCCGTGGTGTGAAAGTTGTCCCGCTCGTTGTCCGGATGGTTATCCCGACAGTTGTCCGGACGGTTGTCCCCCCGATGGTTGTCCCCCCGATGGTTGTCCCGATGGTTGCCCCGATGATTTTCCCGATGGTTGTCCCGGGTTGTCCCGACGCTTGTCCCGGTGGTGTTTCCGATGGCTGTTCCGATGGTTGTCGCGATGGTTGTCCCGATGGTCGCCCCGATGGTTATCTCGATGGTTGGTTGCCCCGGTGGTTGTCCCGCTGGTTTTCCCGATGGGCGTTCCGGTGGTCCAGTGGCCCAATGGTTGTCCCCGATGTCTGTGCCGATGGTTGTCCCGATGGGCGTCTTCATGGTTATCCCGATGGTTGCCCTGATGGTTTCCCAACTCTCCTGTGTTGGGTTCTCGTTTCGGATACAGCAGTGCGGTCGCGACCTCCTCCTTCCTCCCTTCCTCTCTGCTCCTGCCTCCTCCCCGCCTTTTGCTTCCTACCTCGCCGTCCTGTCTGGGGGCTCGCCGGTGCAGTCAACGTGGTTCAATTTATGTGGTGCACTCTATGTGGTGTCAGCTACGTGGTGCAGTCTATGTGGTGCAATCTCTGTGGTGCAATCTATGTGGTTAAGCTATGTGGTACAGTCTATGTGATGCAAGCTATGTTGTGCAATGTGTGTGGTGCGATCTGTTTGGTGTTAGGTGGTACGACTTTCGTGGTGTAAGCTATGTGGTGCAATCTATGCGGTTCAGTCCACTCTGCAGAACTTGAAGTCGTCATCTCCACTGCTCGCGCAAACATCCCACCCACCCACCCGCAACTTGGTTTGAAAAACTCTTAAGACCGACTACGACGGACACCGACGACAAACGACGACGACGACACCGACGACGTCTCCGACGACTTCGACGACGACAACGACGCCGACGCCGCCGACGACGACGAAGACGACGACGACGACGACGCCAACGAAGGCGACGACGAGGGAGGAGGAAGGACGACGACGGCGACAACGACGACAACGACGACAACGACGAGGGAGGAGGGAGGACGGCGACGACGCGAACGACGACGAAGGAGGAAGGACGGCGACGCCGACGACGACAACGACGAGGGAGGATGGAAGACGACGACGACGACGACAATGACGACGACGACGACGATGACGGCGACGAAATAGGAGGGACGACGACGAGACGCCGCTGACGGACGACGACAACGACGAGGGAGGAGGAGGAGGAGGAAGGACGACCACTGCGACAAACGACGACGGAAACACCCCACGACGCAAAGAGGACGACGACGACGAACACGAGGAAAGACAGAGCACGACGTAGGCGACGACGACGACGACGCGGGAGGAGGGAGGACGGCGACGGCGACGACGACGACGACGACGCAAGAGCGCGCGCGCACGCTTTTGTTGAAAATCCGTGTTGCGAAACCTTGGGTTGTCGTAGGTTTTTTGGACACACGATATGGAAATCCTTCCGAAACCGATAGGTTTTGAAGGTTTTCGGCATACGCCTGCGACGACGCGCGCGTCTGCACTTCGTCTCATTTTTTGCAGAGGATTCTCGCGACGGCACACGCGCAAGGGCGCTCGACTAATTTCGACATGCGCACGCGAAGCCCGTTTGGTAGCATTTTGTGAAGATCTTGAAAAACCGATGGCTGTCTTACGATTTCGCAAGAGCTCGCGCGGAAACTTTTTTAGCAAATCAGTGTTGCGAAACCATGTGTTTTTGTATGTTTTTTTGGAGCTCGATTGCGAAATCTGTCCTGCACCGTAGGTTTTTGAAGGATTTCGGCATGCGCGCGCGACGACGCGCGCGATACCGTTTTCCCTGGGATAGCGTAAATTCATATTTAGGATGGACATGTGGTCAGAAACATATATGATTCACATACCCGAAAGGCGGGCGGATAACGCCGGGGGGGGGTAGAGTGTATTCTTTTTTAAGAAAGGAGGATCTATGTGGTTAAGCTTTGTGGTACAATCTATGTGATGCAAGCTATGTTGTGCAATCTGTGTGGTGCAGCGTATGTGGTGCGATCTGTTTGGTTTCAGGTGGTACGACTTTCGTGGTGTAAGCTATGGGGTGCAATCAATCACTTGCTCAACTTGAAGCTGTCCTTTCCACTGCTCGCGCAAACATCCCACCCTCCCACCCGCAACTTGGTTTGCAAAACCTCTTAAGACCGACTACGACGACACCGACGACACCGACGACGTCTCCGACGACTTCGACGACGACAACGACGCCGACGACGACGAAGACGACGACGACGCCAACGAAGGCGACGACGAGGGAGGAGGAAGGACGACGACGGCGACAACGACGACAACGACGAAAACGACGAGGGAGGAGGGAGGACGGCGACGACGCGAACGACGACGAAGGAGGAAGGACGGCGACGCCGACGACGACGACGAGGGAGGAGACGAAGACGACGACGACGACGACGACGACGACGGCGACGAAATAGGAGGGACGACGACGAGACGCCGACGACGGACGACGACGACGACGAGGGAGGAGGAGGAAGGACGACCACGGCGACAACGACGACGGAAACGACCACGACGCCAGAGAGGACGACGACGACGAACACGAGAAAAGACAGAGGACGACGTAGGCGACGACGACGACGACGCGGGAGGAGGGAGGACGGCGACGGCGACGACGACGACGACGCAAGAGCGCGCGCGCACGCTTTTGTTGAAAATCCGTGTTGCGAAACCTTAGGTTTTTGTATGTTTTTTGGACGCACGATTTTGAAATCCTTCCGAAACCGATAGGTTTTGAAGGTTTTCATCATACGCCCGCGACGACGCGCGCGTGTCCACGTCGTCCCGTTTTTTTGCAGAGGATTCTCGCGACGGCACACGCGCAAGGGCGTTCGACTGATTTCGACATGCGCGCGCGCGAAGCCCGTTTGGTAGCATTTTGTGAAGGTCTTGAAAAACCTATTTTTTTCTTACGATTTCGCAAGAGCTCGCGCGGAAACTGTTTTAGTAAATCAGTGTTTCGAGACCATGTATTTTTGTATGTTTATTGGAAACTCGATGGCGAAATCCTTCCGGCACCGAGAATTGTTCAAGGAGGATTTCGGCATGCGCGCGCGACGACGCGCGCGTGTGCACGTCGTTTCATTTTTTGCAAGGGATTTGCGAACAAGTGTTATGTTAGAACAACGAATGTCACCGCATAGTGTTTTTTTACAAGGGAACCTCAGGGGGGGACACCGGTTTGGCTGGGATGCTATGATTTCATATTTAGGATGGACGAGTGGTCAGAATCATATATGATTTACATACCCGAAAGGGGAACGGATAAGTCCAGGGGGGGGTAGAGTCTATTCTCCTTTTAGACAGGAGAATCTACGCGGTGCAGTCTGCGTGGTGCGGGTATACACCCGGAGGACAATACAAAGATGGGAGAGCAGCTACTAGAGAACACCAAGTATTTCACCATGGACGAGCCGACCGAAGCACTGAAGGCCCTTGCTGTTGGCACAGCGGCAGGACACGACGGGGTAGCCTCATAATTTTGGAAGCTACTCCGTCTCTCGACTACTGCATTTAAGAATTTGTTAGCAATTTGCCAGGAATGTTGGGAAAACAACCAAGCTTCGTGGCGAATTGCAGCGGTGGTGCTGCTGTTCATGAAAGGGGACGCGCAATTTACCAGAAACTTACGGCCAATCTCCCTTCTCCCGGTTGGCTACAAGGTGCTGGCCTGGATGATAAAAAAACGATTGCAGCGAGGAGGAGCAGAAGACAGATTACGACAGCCGCCCTTGATGCCCTTGATGCCGCCCTTGGTGCCTTTGGAGGTTGCGGGGGGGGGGGGGGGGCAGGGGGCATTTGTTGATGAATCGTTAAACGGTAGGTTGAACAGGTCGACCTGACGCCGTTTTGGCTCTATGAGTGTCTTCTTGGGTCTCTTGCGACAGATGTTGACATGCCACGGTTATGCCATCGGAGAGGGCGATGGGGGAGGGGGGGGGGGAGGGGGAAGGAGGGGAGGGGGTGGTGGAGGGCAAGCTAGGTGCGCTCGCGTCATATCTGACATCCTACCCCTCCCTCGCATCCGTTACCATGGCGTAGATCCCCTCTCTACTCGCACAATCGGATGTCGAGCAGTGCAATGATCCCGAAAGGGTACGCGATGCATTGTAGTGCGCGGCGTGGCGTGGCGTAGAAGAGCACCGCGCAGCGTAGTATGTCACAGCATGGCGTGGCGTGGCGTAGTGAAGAATTGCGTCACAAAGTTTTGCAACGCAAAGCATGGCATCGCACAGCGGCCTCGAACATCACATTGCATAGCATGGCGTTGAAGATCAAAGCGTCGCATGGCATAACACGACGTGGCACTTAATCACTGCATATCACAGCTTCAGTTGAAGGCATGGCATCGCGCAGCGGAGCGCAACCTAGCATTGTATTGCATGCCGTGGCATGGCACGGGAAATGACGCCAGCGCTGCAGCAGGATCACGATTCGGAACGAGCGGAAGCGCGGAAATGAACCGACCGCTGCAGCGGGAGCGCGATTCGGAACGAGCGGAAACACGGAAATGAGGCCAGCGCTGCCGCGGGAACGCGATTCGGAACGAGCGGGGCCCGAAAATGAAGCCGGCGCCCCGGCGACAGCAGCATTTTGAACAAAAGTGCAGGCGAACACCCAACTCCGGGGAATCCTGTGTGTAAAAAACAGTACGCGGGGGGGGGCGAACACTCCCAACCCGTCATCAGGGGAAGGAGGAGAGTAGTATTCATATTGAGTAATTGTGGAGGGGGAGGGGGAGGGGGAGGGGGAGGGGGAGGGGGGGTGGAGGGAGGAGGAGGGGGATTGCGGGGTGGGGGAGGGAGAGGGGGGGGATGAGGGTGAGGCGTGGGGTGGGGGGCGGGGGGGGAGGTGGGGTGCGGGGGGGTGGGGGCGGGGTTGGAGGGGGCTGGGGGGGGGGAGGAGGAGGAGGGGAGGAGGAGGAGGAGGAGGAGGAGGAGTGAGGGGAGGAGGAGGAGAAGGGGAGGAGGAGACGGGAGGAGGAGGAGGATGGGAGGAGGAGGAGGAGGGAGGAGGTGGAGGAGTGGAGGAGGAGGTGGATGGAGGGAGGGGGAGGAGGAGGTGGGGGAGGGGGAGGATGGAGGAGGAGGAGGAGGTAGGAGGAGGTGGTGAGGAGGAGGAGGAGGGGAGGAGGACGAGGAGGGGAGGAGGAGGAGGAGGAGGAGTGAGGAGGAGGAGGAGGAGGAGGAAACAGAGGAGAAGGCCGAGGAGGAGGAAGAGGAGGAGGAGGCGGAGGAGGAGGAGACGCCTCGCTTTGAGATGTGTTGTTGTGAGAGGCTATTGAACTCTTTGTTGGAGTCTTGTGGCCCTCTTGGGGCTCCTTGGAGGGTCTGGGAGGCCTCTTGGGACATCTTGGCCCCGATGAGTCAAAAAGGGGGATCCTCAATTCAGGTCGCCCCCTCCCCCCAGAGGCTCAAACAGGTTGTCTCGGGGCCCCTTAGGGGAGCTCTTGGGGCGTTCTTGGGCGTCCTTGTGGCCCTCTCGGGGCCCCCTCTTAGGCACCTCTTGGGGCTCTCTGGGGCTGTCTTGGGGCCATCTTGAGGCCTCCGAGGCCCATCGGAAGCGAAAGGGCGAGACGGCAAGCATCATACACTTGGCCTCGGTTTCGGAGCCGGTGTTGCCTCTTGGGGGGGTCCTTGGAGGGCTCGGAGGGCACTTGATACCGTTTTGGGGCCGTCTTGAGGCCTTTTGGATGTGCGTCGGAGGCTATCTTGAGCCATCTTGGAGGCCATCTTGGGGTCTCTGGGGCCCTCCTGGAGCCATACTGGGCGATCTTGGGGGCTGCAGCGTCTCGCGCCCCCCCCTCCCAGGCCCAGGGGAGGGGTAGGGACAGGAGTAAACCCTTCCCCGCGCAGGGGAAGGATGGGCTTTGAGAGAGAGAGAGAGAGAGAGAGAAATAAAGAAGAAGGAAGAGAAATATAAAGAGAAAGGGAAAGAGAAGAGACACAATCCGTTAAACCACCTACGCCCAGAGGGCTGGTGGGATTCGTGAAGCTTCATGCATCCCGGTTCAGGCATCCTGGTTCAAGCAGACTTGGTGCAGCTTCCATTTTGTCCGCAATCAAATCACACAGACACACACGCGAAAACACTTGGCTTGCGGGTCCTTTCTTTTCTGTTCCGTGGGATGGCGGTCCAGAAGGCGCCTTGGACCGTGTGGTCCGTGGTTGCAGTCGTCCTCAGCATCAGCGCATCCACTGTGACCTCGATCGGTGTGAGTTCCAAGCCAGAGTGTGCAGATGACGACGCCCAAATTATTGCGCTGGCAAGCGGCATCGGCGTCACTATCAGTGGTTGTGCTGCGGTGCAGCCTTATTGCGAAGATGCGAAGTATGGCAGCACTGTGAAAGCGACCTGCCCTGCAACGTGTGGCCTCTGCAGGGTGGCCAGCCCCAGCAGCTCCCAGGCGGCTGAGGTGCTGATGGACAGGAGCTCCAGGGGCTCCCAGGACGCGGATGATCAACGGTCCCTGGACAGAGCTCTGGCAGCGAAAGGGCCCGACCCGACGCCGAGGCCGACGCCGTGGCCGACGCCGTGGCCGACGCGGTACCCGACGCCGAGGCCGACGCCGTGGCCGACGCCGTGGCCGACGCGGTACCCGACGCCGAGGCCGACGCCGTGGCCGACGCCGAGGCCGACGCCATATCCGACGCCGAAGCCGACGCCGAACCCGACGCCGAACCCGACGCCGTACCCGACGCCGAAGCCGACGCCGAACCCGACGCCGAACCCGACGCCGTACCCGACGCCGAAGCCGACGCCGAGCCCGACGCCGAACCCGACGCCGTACCCGACGCCGAAGCCCACGCCGAACCCGACGCCGAATCCGACGCCGTACCCGACGCCGAGCCCGACGCCGAATCCGACGCCGTACCCGACGCCGTACCCGACGGCCTTTCCGACGCCGTACCCCACGGCCTTCCCGACGCCGTACCCGACGGCCTTCCCGACGCCGTACCCGACGGCCTTCCCGACGCCCTACCCAACAGCTTTCCCGACGCCCTACCCGACGGCCTTCCCGACGCCGTTCCCGACCCCTAGCCCGACGCCCAGCCCGACATATCCTCTGGGTTGGCCGACGCCACAACCAACGTTTCTTCCCGCAGCTCCTATGGCGGGTGGAGCTGCTGGAGGCGTGGCTGCCACCGGCGATCCCCACCTTCAGAATGTTCACGGCGAGCGGTTCGATTTAATGCAGGCGGGCAAACATGTTCTGATAAACATCCCTCGCGGAGTGAGCGCTGAAGACGCATTGCTTCGTGTGCAGGCCGATGCGCGCCGCTTGGGTGGAAGTTGTTCGGATATGTATTTCCAAGAACTGAACATTACAGGCTCTTGGGCAGAGGCTAAGCAAGTTGGAGGGTACCACTACGGCGTACGGCAAAGCGTTAGGACAAGTCCGCAATGGGTTGCTATTGGCCGGGTAGAGCTGAAAGTCGTCCATGGACGCACAGAGAGTGGCACCCTGTACTTGAATGTGTTTGTGAAGCATTTGGGGCGATCAGGGTTTGCCGTCGGAGGCTTGCTGGGGGAAGACGACCACAAGGACGCGATGACTCCCCCGGCGTCTTGTACCAAACACATTCCTCTGCTAGAAGCAGTGGCGAGTGGCCAGGTTCCTTCCTCCGAGTCGTCGGTTGCAGCGGCAACCTTCGCGTGACCATGCTGGATACTTTGACACGTGGGTATATGACAAGTACGCCCCGTCGGGTGACGCGTGCGGTAGTGTTTTCCTGCTCCATAGAAAAAGTTAGAACCCCTAAGTGCAAGCACTGCTTGGGGAAGAGGCCTCTAAGACAGTTCGCGGATGCAGGACATGACCCCTGGTGCCATCTAGGAGCGTGATGGAAGTGTGGCTTCAGACCGACGCCCCCGAGGCCTTCGGAAAAGGTCACGTGGCATTCTACTTCCCCAAGCTTCAGTTCTCTCTGCCCTTCCTTCGCCCCCCCTCCCTCCTTTCAGGAGGGACGTACGGCCCATTGCCCAGAGAGGGTCCGCATGCGTCCGCACTTGCGCACATGCCTCACGTGAAGGCTCTTCCCGTTTTGGCCTGGTGAGGTTGTTCTGCCGCCCTCGATGAGGCCGCCGCAGGGCCCGCGCTGGAGCAGAAGGTGCAGGCAAGAATATTGCATTGCATACGTGGCGTCGTCGCGGCGGCGGTAATTAGTCCTTCCGCCGTTCGGAGACACGGCGCCAATACAATGCCCCTTTCGGCAGCCGCACCCCCCACCCCATGGATGCCTTAGCCCTGGCCTTGCCACTCCGCTCCCGTGCTGTCGGAGATTTGGGGGCGAGCCCGAAGTGCAACGTGAGATGCACCAACCGGGACATCGTTTCGTTTCGTGCGTGACGTGCGTGAAGTGCGCGCGGGCGAGGCGAGGCGAGGCGAGGCGAAGTCGCACGAGTTCGCACACTACAGACTCGGAAACATTTCCCCTGACGGCACAACAACGCCCCAGGAACAACCGAAAGACAAACGAAGCCTTCCGCACCCGACCCCGTCCGCCTCGCCAGACATGTGGACCAAACACCTCCAACCGAAAGACAAACGAAGCCTTCCGCACCCGACCCCGTCCACCTCGCCGGACATGTGGTCCAACCCCCCCCCATAAAGTTCTAAACGTGCTCGCGCCAGGGGGGAGGGCCCTGGGTGGCTCCACTCCTTTAATTCGAATTTTATTAAAGAGTGGGTGGAGCCTGGTTTGGGCGATTCTGCTTGGGTCATCCTCAAAATCTGCCTGGTTTGGGCCCTGGTTTGGCCTGGTTTGGCTTGGTTTGGCTCGGTTGGGCGCCGCAAACCGCCTGAGACATCCTCCGAATTTGCTTGGTTTGGCCCCTGGTTTGGCCTGATTTGGGTATGGTTTCGCTTGAGACGTCCTCAGAATTTGCTTGGTTTGGCCTGGTTTGGGCCCGGTTTTGCTTGACGTCCTCAGAATGTGCTTCGTTTGGCTTGGTTTGGGTTTTATTTTGCTTGAGATGTCCTCACAATTTGCCTTGTTTGGCCTGGTTTGGGCCCGGTTGTGCGTGAAACGTCATCACAATTTGCTTGGTTTGGCCTGGTTTGGGGGTCGATTTCGCTTGAGACGTCCTTACGATTTGCCCGGTTTGGCCTGGTTTGGGGGTCGGTTTCGCCTGAGACGTCCTCGTAATTTGCCTGTATTGGGCCCAGTTTCGCTTGAGACGTCCTCGCAATTTGCTTGGTTTGGCTTGGTTTGGGCCTGGTTTCGCCTGAGACCTCCTAACAATTTGCCTGGTTTGGCCTGGTTTGGGTCCTTCTTCGCATGAGACGTCCTTGCAATGTGCAAGGTTTGGCCCTGGGAACCGCGAAGCTCTTGCAACATCCCTGGTTTGATTTGGCGAGAGCGCACGTCAACGTCGTCGTAGTTGTCGTCGTGGTCGTCAAAATCACCATCGTCGTCGTCGTCGGCGGCGTCGTCGTTGGGGGGGGGCCGACGCTCCGGGACACAGTATATTATGTCACGTGGTGCAGGGACATGAAGGAAACGATTCATTCGCACACGTGGTGGGCGTATACATTCGGGACGTTATGGCCCTGAGGTGTTCCCAAGTCACATTGGGTGTTTTCGATGTGTGTATGACAAGGAACTAACATTTCACTCACGTCGTGGGTGCAAACACGCGAAACGGGGCGGTGTGTGCGGTGTGTACTGAACACACACATACTGGCTCACATTCCGCACTGTTGTGCTACAGTATAACCGGGGCATTGGGTGTGGGCATCCGAAGCGCAGTGTGTTCGGCCAGCCCCTGCACCACATAGTGCAACCATCGCTCACACAAATCCTCCTGTTATTCGGCATTGGACCATGTGGCGGCGTAAGGAGAAAACCTTTCCGAGCCTGTAGTTAGAGGCTAGGGTCAAGTCAGACAAATGAGGCGCCCCACGCGGCGGCCGTGGTGTGAAAGTTGTCCCGCTCGTTGTCCGGATGGTTATCCCGACAGTTGTCCGGACGGTTGTCCCCCCGATGGTTGTCCCCCCGATGGTTGTCCCGATGGTTGCCCCGATGATTTTCCCGATGGTTGTCCCGATGGTTGTCCCGACGCTTGTCCCGGTGGTGTTTCCGATGGCTGTTCCGATGGTTGTCGCGATGGTTGTCCCGATGGTCGCCCCGATGGTTATCTCGATGGTTGCCCCGGCGGTTGTCCCGCTGGTTTTCCCGATGGGCGTTCCGGTGGTCCAGTGGCCCAATGGTTGTCCCCGATGTTTGTGCCGATGGTTGTCCCGATGGGCGTCTTCATGGTTATCCCGATGGTTGCCCTGATGGTTTCCCAACTCTCCTGTGTTGGGTTCTCGTTTCGGATACAGCAGTGCGGTCGCGACCTCCTCCTTCCTCTCTGCTCCTGCCTCCTCCCCGCCTTTTGCTTCCTACCTCGCCGTCCTGTCTGGGGGCTCGCCGGTGCAGTCAACGTGGTTCAATGTATGTGGTGCACTCTATGTGGTGTCAGCTACGTGGTGCAGTCTATGTGGTGCAATCTCTGTGGTGCACTCTATGTGGTGCAATCTATGTGGTTAAGCTATGTGGTACAGTCTATGTGATGCAAGCTATGTTGTGCAATGTGTGTGGTGCGATCTGTTTGGTGTTAGGTGGTACGACTTTCGTGGTGTAAGCTATGTGGTGCAATCTATGCGGTGCAGTCCACTCTGCAGAACTTGAAGTCGTCATCTCCACTGCTCGCGCAAACATCCCACCCACCCACCCGCAACTTGGTTTGCAAAACCTCTTAAGACCGACTACGACGACACCGACGACAACGACTACGACGACACCGACGACGTCTCCGACGACTTCGACGACGACAACGACGCCGACGCCGACGACGACGACGACGCCAACGAAGGCGACGACGAGGGAGGAGAAAGGACGACGACGGCGACAACGACGACAACGACGACAACGACGAGGGAGGAGGGAGGACGGCGACGACGCGAACGACGACGAAGGAGGAAGGACGGCGACGCCGACGACGACAACGACGAGGGAGGAGGGAAGACGACGACAACGACGACGACGACGACGGCGACGAAATAGGAGGGACGATGACGAGACGCCGTGGACGGACGACGACGACGAGGGAGGAGGAGGAAGGACGACCACGGCGACAACGACGACGGAAACGACCACGACGCCAAAGAGGACGACGACGACGAACACGAGGAAAGACAGAGCACGACGTAGGCGACGACGACGACGACGACGCGGGAGGAGGAAGGACGGTGATGATGACGATGACGACGCAAAAGCGCGCGCGCACGCTTTTGTTGAAAATCCGTGTTGCGAAACCTTGGGTTTTCGTAGGTTTTTTGGACACACGATATGGAAATCCTTCCGAAACCGATAGGTTTTGAAGGTTTTCGGCATACGCCCGCGACGACGCGCGCGTCTGCACTTCGTCCAATTTTTTGCAGAGGACTCTCGCGACGGCACACGCGCAAGGGCGCTCGACTGATTTCGACATGCGCACGCGAAGCCCGTTTGGCAGCATTTTGTGAAGATCTTGAAAAACCTATGGTTTTCTTACGATTTCGCAAGAGCTCGCGCGGAAACTTGTTTAGCAAATCAGTGCTGCGAAACCATGTGTTCTTGTATGTTTTTTTGGGGCTCGATTGCGAAATCTGTCCGGTATCGTAGGTTTTTGAAGGATTTCGGCATGCGCGCGCGACGACGCGCGCGATACCGCTTCCCCTGGGATAGCGTAAATTCATATTTAGGATGGACATGTGGTCAGAAACATATATGATTCACATACCCGAAAGGTGGGCGGATAACGCCGGGGGGGGGTAGAGTGAATCATGATTTAAGAAAGGAGAATCTATGTGGTTAAGCTTTGTGGTACAATCTATGTGATGCAAGCTATGTTGTGCAATCTGTGTGGTGCAGCGTATGTGGTGCGATCTGTTTGGTTTCAGGTGGTACGACTTTCGTGGTGTAAGCTATGTGGTGCAATCAATCACTTGCTCAACTTGAAGCTGTCCTTTCCACTGCTCGCGCAAACATCCCACCCTCCAACCCGCAACTTGGTTTGCAAAACCTCTTAAGACCGACTACGACGACACCGACGACAACGACGACGACGACACCGACGACGTCTCTGACGACTTCGACGACGACAACGACGCCGACGCGGACGACGACGAAGACGACGACGACGACGCCAACGAAGGCGACGACGAGGGAGGAGGAAGGACGACGACATCGACGACAACGACGAGGGAGGAGGGAGGACGGCGACGACGCGAACGACGACGAAGGAGGAAGGACGGCGACGCCGACGACGACAACGACGAGGGAGGAGGGAAGACGACGACGACAACGACGACGACGACGACGACGGTGACGAAATAGAACCGACGACGAGACGCCGACGACGGACGACGACGACGACGTGGGAGGAGGAGGACGGACGACCACGGCGACAACGACGACGGAAACGACCACGACGCCAAAGAGGACGACGACGACGAACACGAGGAAAAACAGAGGACGACGTAGGCGACGACGACGACGACGACGCGGGAGGAGGGAGGACGGCGACGACGACGACGACGACGACGACGCAAGAGCGCGCGCGCACGCTTTTGTTGAAAATCCGTGTTGCGAAACCTTAGGTTTTTGTAGGTTTTTTGGACGCACGATTTTGAAATCCTTCCGAAACCGATGGGTTTTGAAGGTTTTCGGCATACGCCCGCGACGACGCGCGCGTGTCCATGTCGTCCCGTTTTTTGCAGAGGATTCTCGCGACGGCACACGCGCAATGGCGTTCGACTGATTTCGACATGCGCGCGCGCGAAGCCCGTTTGGTAGCATTTTGTGAAGATCTTGAAAAACCTATGGTTTTCGTACGATTTCGCAAGAGCTCGCGCGGAAGCTTTTTTAGCAAATCCGTGCTGCGAAACTGTGTGTTTTTGTATGTTTTTTGGAAACTCGATTGCGAAATCCTTCCGGCACGGAGAATGTTTGCAAGGTTTTTGAAGGATTTCGGCATGCGCGCGCGACAACGCGCGCGTGTGCACTTCGTTTCATTTTTTGCAAGGGATTTGCGAAAAAGTGTTATGTTAGAACAACGAATGTCACCGCATAGTGTTTTTTACAAGGGAACCTCAGGGGGGGAAACCGGTTTGGCTGGGATGCCATGATTTCATATTTAGGATGGACGAGTGGTCAGAATCATATATGATTTACATACCCGAAAGGGGAACGGATAAGTCCGGGGGGGGGGTAGAATCTATACTCTTTTTAGACAGGATAATCTACGCGGTGCAGTCTGCGTGGTGCGTGTATACACCCAGAGGACAATACAAAGATGGGAGAGCATTTACCCGAGAACACCAATTATTTCACCATGGACGAGCCGACCGAAGCACTGAAGGCCCTTGCTGTTGGCACAGCGGCAGGACACGACGGGGTAGCCTCATAATTTTGGAAACTACTCCGTCTCTCGACTACTGCATGTAAGAATATGTTAGCACTTTGCTAGGAATGTTGGGAAAACGACCCAGCTTCGTGGCGAATTGCAGCGGTGGTGCTGCTGTTCATGAGAGGGGACGCGCAATTTACCAGAAACTTGCCGGTCAATCTCCCTTCTCCCGGTTGGCTACAAGGTGCTGGCCTGGATGATCAAAAAAAGATTGCAGCGAGGAGCAGAAGACAGATTACGACAGCCGCCCTTGATGCCCTTGATGCCGCCCTTGGTGCCTTTGGAGGTTGCGGGGGGGGGGGCAGGGACATTTGTTGATGAGTCGTTAAACGGTAGTTGAACAGGTCCACTGGCGCCGTTTTGGCTCTATGAGCGTCTTCTTGGGGTCTTTTTCGACAGATGTTGACATGCCACGGTTATGCCATCGGGGAGGGCGATGGGGGAGGGGGGGGGAGGGGTAAGGAGGGGAGGGGGTGGGGGAGGGCAACCTAGGTGCGCTCGCGTCATATCTGACATCCTACCCCTCCCTCGCATCCCTTACCATGGCGTAGATCCCCTCTCTACTCGCACAATCGGATGTCGAGCAGGGCAATGATCCCGAAAGGGTACGCGATGCATTGTAGAGCACGGCGTGGCGTGGCGTAGAAGAGCACCGCACAGCGTAGTATGTCACAGCATGGCGTGGCGTGGCGTAGTGAAGAATTGCGTCACAAAGCTTTGCGACGCAAATTATGGCATCGCACGGCGGCCCCGAACATACATTGCATAGCATGGCGTTGAAGATCAAAGCGTAGCATGGCATAGCACGACGTGGCAGTTAATCACTGCATATCACAGCTTCAGTTGAAGGCATGGCATCGCGCAGCGGAACGCAACCTAGCATTGCATTGCATACCGTGGCATGGCACGGAAAATGACGCCAGCGCTGCAGCAGGAGCACGATTCGGAACGAACGGAAGCGCGGAAATGAAGCCAGCGCTGCAGCGGGAGCGCGATTCGGAACGAGCGGAAGCACGGAAATGATGCCAGCGCTGCCGCGGGAACGCGATTCGGAACGAACGGGGCCCGAAAATGAGGCCGGCGCCTCAGCGAGAGCAGCATTTTGAACAAAAGTGCAGGCGAACACCCAATTCCGGGGAATCCTGTGTGTAAAAAACAGTACGCGCGGGGGGGGGGCGAACACACCCAACCCGTCATCAGGGGAAAGAGGAGAGTATATTGAGTAATGTGGAGGAGGGGGATCGGGGAGGGTGGGGGGGGTGGGGGGGGGGGAGGGAGGCGGAGGGGGTTGCGTGGTGGGGAGGGAACCGGCGGGGAAAGGGTGAGGCGGGGGGTGGGGGGGGGGGGTGGGGCGGGGGTGGAGGGGGGCGGGGCGGGGGGGGGGAAGCGGGAAGAGGGGAGGGGAGGAGGAGGGGAGGAGGAGGGGGAGGAGGAGGAGGAGGAGGAGGAGGAGGAGGAGGAGAGGAGGAGGAGGAGGAGGAGGAGGAGGAGGAGGAGGAGGAGGAGGAAAAAGAGGAGAAGGCCGAGGAGGAGGAAGAGGAGGAGGAGGCGGAGGAGGAGGCGACGCCTGGCTTTGAGGTATGTTGTTGTTTGTGAGAGGCTATTGAAGGGCGACGAAGGCCTTCTGAGAGGCGCTCTTAGGGCCCCCGTGGGGCCTTCTGGTGCCCTGTTGGGGGCTCTTTGTTGGAGTCTTGTGGCCCTCTTGGGGCTCCTTGGAGGGTTTGGGAGGCCTCTTGGGACATCTTGGCCCCGATGAGTCAAAAAGGGGGGATCCTCAATTCAGGTCCCCCCCTCACCCCAGAGGCTCAAACAGGTTGTCTCGGGGCCACTTAGGGGAGCTCTTGGGGCGTTCTTGGGCGTCCTTGTGGCCCTGTCGGGGCCCCCTCTTGGGCACTTCTTGGGGCTCTTTGGGGCTGTCTTGGGGCCATCTTCAGGCCTCCGAGGCCCATCGGAAGCGAAAGGGCGAGACGGCAATCATCATACATTTGGCCTCGGTTTCGGAGCCGGTGTTGCCTCTTGGGGGCGTCCTTGGAGGGCTCGGAGGGCACTTGATACCGTTTTGGGGCTGTCTTGAGGCCTTTTGGATGTGCGTCGGAGGCTATCTTGAGCCATCTTGGAGGCCATCTTGGGGTCTCTGGGGCCCTCCTGGAGCCATACTGGGCGATCTTGGGGGCTGCAGCGTCTCGCGCCCCCCCCTCCCAGGCCCAGGGGAGGGGTAGGGACAGGGGTAAATCCTTCCCCGCGCAGGGGAAGGATGGGCTTTGAGAGAGAGAGAGAGAGAGAGAGAGAGAGAGAGAGATGAAGAAAGAGGAAGAGAAAGATAAAGATAAAGGGAAAGAGAAGAGACACAATCCGTTAAACCACCTACGCCCAGAGGGCTGGTGGGATTCGTGAAGCTTCATGCATCCCGGTTCAGGCATCCTGGTTCAAGCAGACTTGGTGCAGCTTCCATTTTGTCCGCAATCAAATCACACACACACACGCGAAAACACTTGGCTTGCGGGTCCTTTCTTTTCTGTTCCGTGGGATGGCGGTCCAGAAGGCGCCTTGGACCGTGTGGTCCGTGGTTGCAGTCGTCCTCAGCATCATCGCACCCACTGTGACCTCGATCGGTGTGAGTTCCAAGCCGGAGTGTGCAGATGACGACGCCCAAATTATTGCGCTGGCAAGCGGCATCGGCGTCACTATCAGTGGTTGTGCTGCGGTGCAGCCTTATTGCGAAGATGCGAAGTATGGCAGCACTGTGAAAGCGACCTGCCCTGCAACGTGTGGCCTCTGCAGGGTGGCCAGCCCCAGCAGCTCCCAGGCGGCTGAGGTGCTGATGGATAGGAGCTCCAGGGGCTCCCAGGACGCGGATGATCAACGGTCCCTGGACAGAGCTCTGGCAGCGAAAGGGCCCGACCCGACGCCGAGGCCGACGCCGTGGCCGACGCCGTGGCCGACGCGGTACCCGACGCCGAGGCCGACGCCGTGGCCGACGCCGTGGCCGACGCGATCCCCGACGCCGAGGCCGACGCCGTACCCGACGCCGAGGCCGACGCCGTACCCGACGCCAAGGCCGACGCCGTACCCGACGCCGAGGCCGACGCCGTACCCGACGCCGAGGCCGACGCCGAACCCGACGCCGAACCCGACGCCGTACCCGACGCCGAAGCCAACGCCGAACCCGACGCCGAACCCGACGCCATACCCGACGCCGAAGCCGACGCCGAACCCGACGCCGAACCCGACGCCGTACCCGACGCCGAAGCCGACGCCGAGCCCGACGCCGAACCCGACGCCGTACCCGACGCCGAAGCCCACGCCGAACCCGACGCCGAAGCCGACGCCGTACCCGACGCCGAGCCCGACGCCGAATCCGACGCCGTACCCGACGCCGTACCCGACGGCCTTTCCGACGCCGTACCCCACGGCCTTCCCGACGCCGTACCCGACGGCCTTCCCGACGCCGTACCCGACGGCCTTCCCGACGCCCTACCCAACCGCTTTCCCGACGCCCTACCCGACGGCCTTCCCGACGCCGTTCCCGACCCCTAGCCCGACGCCCAGCCCGACATATCCTCTGGGTTGGCCGACGCCACAACCAACGTTTCTTCCCGCAGCTCCTATGGCGGGTGGAGCTGCTGGAGGCGTGGCTGCCACCGGCGATCCCCACCTTCAGAATGTTCACGGCGAGCGGTTCGATTTAATGCAGGCGGGCAAACATGTTCTGATAAACATCCCTCGCGGAGTGAGCGCTGAAGACGCATTGCTTCGTGTGCAGGCCGATGCGCGCCGCTTGGGTGGAAGTTGTTCGGATATGTATTTCCAAGAACTGAACATTACAGGCTCTTGGGCAGAGGCTAAGCAAGTTGGAGGGTACCACTACGACGTACGGCAAAGCGTTAGGACGAGTCCGCAATGGGTTGCTATTGGCCGGGTAGAGCTGAAAGTCGTCCATGGACGTACAGAGAGTGGCACCTTGTACTTGAATGTGTTTGTGAAGCATTTGGGGCGATCAGGGTTTGCCGTCGGAGGCTTGCTGGGGGAAGACGACCACAAGGACGCGATGACTCCCCCGGCGTCTTGTACCAAACACATTCCTCTGCTAGAAGCAGTGGCGAGTGGCCAGGTTCCTTCCTCCGAGTCGTCGGTTGCAGCGGCAACCTTCGCGTGACCATGCTGGATACTTTGACACGTGGGTATATGACAAGTACGCCCCGTCGGGTGACGCGTGCGGTAGTGTTTTCCTGCTCCATAGAAAAAGAAGTAAGAACCCCTAAGTGCAAGCACTGCTTGGGGAAGAGGCCTCTAAGACAGTTCGCGGATGCAGGACATGACCCCTGGTGCCATCTAGGAGCGTGATGGAAGTGTGGCTTCAGACCGACGCCCCCGAGGCCTTCGGAAAAGGTCACGTGGCATTCTACTTCCCCAAGCTTCAGTTCTCACTGCCCTTCCTTCGCCCCCCCTCCCTCCTTTCAGGAGGGACGTACGGCCGATTGCCCAGAGAGGGTCCGCATGCGTCCGCACTTGCGCACATGCCTCACGTGAAGGCTCTTCCCGTTTTGGCCTGGTGAGGTTGTTCTGCCGCCCTCGATGAGGCCGCCGCAAGGCCCGCGCTGGAGCAGAAGGTGCAGGCAAGACTATTGCATTGCATACGTGGCGTCGTCGCGGCGGCGGTAGTCCTTCCGCCGTTCGGAGACACGGCGCCAATACAATGCCCCTTTCGGCAGCCGCACCCCCCACCCCAAGGATGCCTTAGCCCTGGCCTTGCCACTCCACTCCCGTGCTGTCGGAGATTTGGGGGCGAGCCCGAAGTGCAACGTGAGATGCACCAACCGGGACATCGTTTCGTTTCGTGCGTGACGTGCGTGAAGTGCGTGCGGGCTAGGCGAGGCGAGGCGAGGCGAAGTCGCGCAAGTTCGCACACTACAGACTCGGAAACATTTCTCCTGACGGCACAACAACGCCCCAGGAACAACCGAAAGACAAACGAAGCCTTCCGCACCCGACCCCGTCCGCCTCGCCGGACATGTGGTCCGAACACCTCCAACCGAACGACAAGCGAAGCCTTCCGCACCCGACCCCGTCCCGCCTCGCCGGACATGTGGTCCAAGCCCCCCCCCATAAAATTCTAAACGGGCTCGCGCCAGGGGGAGGGCCCTGGGTGCATCCACTCCTTTACTTCGAATTGTATGAAGGAGTGGGTGGAGCCTGGTTTGGGCGATTCTACTTGGGACGTCCTCAACATCTGCCTGGCTTGGGCCCTGGTTTGGCTTGGTTTGGCTTGGTTTGGCTCGGTTGGGCGCCGCAAGCCACCTGAGACATCCTCCGAATTTGCTTGGTTTGGCCCCTGGTTTGGCCTGATTTGGGTCCGGTTTCGCTTGAGACGTCCTCAACATTTGCTTGGTTTGGCATGGTTTGGGCCCAGTTTTGCTTGAGACGTCCTCTTTGCTTTTTTTGGCTTGGTTTGGGCTTGATTTTGTTTCTCACAATTTGCCTGGTTTGGGCCTGGTTTTGCTTAAAACGTCATCACAATCTGCTTGGTTTGGCCTGGTTTGGTGGTCGGTTTCGCTTGAGACGTCCTCACGATTTGCCCGGTTTGTCCTGGTTTGGGGGTCGGTTTCGCCTGAGACGTCCTCGCAATTTGCCTGGTTTGGGCCCAGTTTCGCTTGAGACGTCCTCGCAATTTGCTTGGTTTGGCTTGGTTTGGGCCCTGTTTCGCCTGAGACGTCCTCGCAATTTGCCTGGTTTTGCCTGGTTTGGGTCCTTCTTCGCATGAGACGTCCTTGCAATGTGCAAGGTTTGGCCTTGGGAACCGCGAAGCTCTTGCAACACCCCTGGTTCGATTTGGTGAGAGCGCACGTCAACTTCGTCGTAGTCGTCGTCATGGTCGTCAAAATCACCACCGTCGTCGTCGTCGGCGGCGTCGTCGTTGGGGGGGGCCGACGCTCCGGGACACAGTATATTATGTCACGTGGTGCAGGGAAATGAAGGAAACAATTCATTCGCACACGTGGTGGGCGTATACATTCGAGACGTTATGGCCCTGAGGTGTTCCCAAGACACATTGGGTGTTGTCGATGTGTGTCTGACAAGGAACTAACATTTCACTCACGTCGTGGGTGCAAACATGGGAAACGGGGCGGTGTGTGCGGCGTGTACTGAACACACATACTGGCTCACATTCCGCACTGTTGTGCTACAGTATAACCGGGGCATTGGGTGTGGGCATCCAAAGCGCAGTGTGTTCGGCCAGCCCCTGCACCACATAGTGCAACCATCGCTCACACAAATCCTCCTGTTATTCGGCATTGGACCATGTGGCGGCGTAAGGAGAAAACCTTTCCGAGCCTGTAGTTAGAGGCTAGGGTCAAGTCGGACAAATGAGGCGCCCCACGCGGCGGCCGTGGTGTGAAAGTTGTCCCGCTCGTTGTCCGGATGGTTATCCCGACAGTTGTCCAGACGGTTGTCCCCCCGATGGTTGTCCCCCCGATGGTTGTCCCGATGGTTGCCCCGATGATTTTCCCGATGGTTGTCCCGATGGTTGTCCCGACGCTTGTCCCGGTGGTGTTTCCGATGGGTTCCGATGGTTGTCGCGATGGTTGTCCCGATGGTCGCCCCGATGGTTATCTCGATGGTTGCCCCGGTGGTTGTCCCGCTGGTTTTCCCGATGGGCGTTCCGGTGGTCCAGTGGCCCAATGGTTGTCCCCGATGTTTGTGCCGATGGTTGTCCCGATGGGCGTCTTCATGGTTATCCCGATGGTTGCCCTGATGGTTTCCCAACTCTCCTGTGTTGGGTTCTCGTTTCGGATACAGCAGTGCGGTCGCGACCTCCTCCTTCCTCCCTTCCTCTCTGCTCCTGCCTCCTCCCCGCCTTTTGCTCCTGCCTCGCCGTCACTGTCTGGGGGCTCGCCGGGCAGTCAACGTGTCAATTTATGTGTGCCACTCTATGTGGTGGTCAGCCTAGTGGTGCTGTCTATGTGGTGCAATCTCTGTGGGCCAATCTAGTGGTTAAGCTATGGGTACCAGGTCTATGTGATGAAGCTATGTTGTGCAAGTGTGTGGTGGCGATCGTTTGTGTAGGTGGTACGACTTTGTGGTGTAAGCTATTGGTGCAGTATAATCTATGCGGTTCAGTCCACTCTGCGGAACTTGAAGTCGTCATCTCCACTGCTCGCGCAAACATCCCAACCACCCACCCGCAACTTGGTTTGCAAAACCTGTTAAGACCGACTACGACGACACCGACGACAACGACTAGGACGACACCGACGACGTCTCCGACGACACGTCGAACGAAGACAACGCACACCGAGCAGAAACGACGACGACGCCAACGAGGCGACGACGGGAGGAGGAAGGACGAGACGGCGACAAAGACGACAACGACGACAACGAGAGGGAGGAGGCGAGGACGGGCAACGACGCGAACGACGACGAAGGTAGGAAGTACCCCCCCCCCCCCCCCCCCTGTGCGACGCCGACGCACGACAACGACGAGGTGAGGAGGAAGACGACGACGACAACGACCGACGACGACGACGGCGACGAAATAGGAGGGACGATGACGAGACGCCGTGGACGGACGACGACGACGAGGGAGGAGGAGGAAGGACGACCACGGCGACAACGACGACGGAAACGACCACGACGCCAAAGAGGACGACGACGACGAACACGAGGAAAGACAGAGCACGACGTAGGCGACGACGACGACGACGACGCGGGAGGAGGAAGGACGGACGACGACGACGACGACGACGCAAAAGCGCGCGCGCACGCTTTTGTTGAAAATCCGTGTTGCGAAACCTTGGGTTTTCGTAGGTGTTGTGGACACACGATATGGCAATCCTTCCGAAACCGATAGGTTTTGAAGGTTTTCGGCATACGCCCGAGACGACGCGCGCGTCTGCACTTCGTCCCGTTTTTTGCAGAGGATTCTCGCGACGGCACACGCGCAAGGGCGCTCTACTGATTTCGACATGCGCACGCGAAGCCCGTTTGGTAGCATTTTGTGAAGATCTTGAAAAACCTATGGTTTTGTTACGATTTCGCAAGAGCTCGCGCGGAAGCTTTTTTATCAAATCAGTGTTGCGAAACCCTTAGTTTTTGTATGTTTTTTTGAGCTCGATTGCGAAATCTGTCCGGCACCGTAGGTTGTTGAAGGATTTCGGCATGCGCGCGCGACGACGCGCGCGATACCGTTTCCCCTGGGATAGCGTAAATTCATATTTAGGATGGACATGTGGTCAGAAACATATATGATTCACATACCCGAAAGGCGGGCGGATAACGCCGGGGGGGGTAGAGTGAATCATGATTTAAGAAAGGAGGATCTCTGTGGTTAAGCTTTGTGGTACAATCTATGTGATGCAAGCTATGTTGTGCAATCTGTGTGGTGCAGCGTATGTGGTGCGATCTGTTTGGTTCCAGGTGGTACGACTTTCGTGGTGTAGGCTATGTGGTGCAATCAATCACTTGCTCAACTTGAAGCTGTCCTTTCCACTGCTCGCGCAAACATCCCACCCTCCCACCCGCAACTTGGTTTGCAAAACCTCGTAAGACCGACTACGACGACACCGACGACAACGACGACGACGACACCGACGACGTCTCCGACGACTTCGACGACGACAACGACGCCGACGCCGACGACGACGAAGACGACGACGACAACGACGCCAACGAAGGCGACGACGAGGGAGGAGGAAGGACGACGACATCGACGACAACGACGAGGGAGGAGGGAGGACGGCGACGACGCGAACGACGACGAAGGAGGAAGGACGGCGACGCCGACGACGACAACGACGAGGGAGGAGGGAAGACGACGACGACAACGACGACGACGACGGTGACGAAATATAACCGACGACGAGACGCCGACGACGGACGACGACGACGACGTGGGAGGAGGAGGACGGACGACCACGGCGACAACGACGACGGAAACGACCACGACGCCAAAGAGGACGACGACGACGAACACGAGAAAAAACAGAGGACGACGTAGGCGACGACGACGACGACGCGGGAGGAGGGAGGACGGCGACGACGACGACGACGACGCAAGAGCGCGCGCGCACGCTTTTGTTGAAAATCCGTGTTGCGAAACCTTAGGTTTTTGTAGGTTTTTTGGACGCACGATTTTGAAATCCTTCCGAAACCGATGGGTTTTGAAGGTTTTCGGCGTACGCCCGCGACGACGCGCGCGTCTGCACTTCGTGACATTTTTTGCAAAGATTTCTCGCGACGGCACACGCGCAAGGGCGTTCGACAGATTTCGACATGCGCGCGCGAAGCCCGTTTGGTAGCATTGTGTGAAAATCTTGAAAAACCTATGGTTTTCTTACGATTTCGCAAGAGCTCGCGCGGAAGCTTTTTTAGCAAATCAGTGTTGCGAAACCGTGTGTTTTTGTATGTGTTTTGGAAACTCGATTGCGAAATCTTTCCGGCACCGAGAATTTTTCAAGGTTTTTGAAGGATTTCGGCATGCGCGCGCGACGACGCGCGCGTGTGCACTTCGTTTCATTTTTTGCAAGGGATTTGCGAAAAAGTGTTATGTTAGAACAACGAGTGTCACCGCATAGTGTTTTTTTACAAGGGAACCTCAGGGGGGGAAACCGGTTTGGCTGGGATGCCACGATTTCATATTTAGGATGGACGAGTGGTCATAATCATATATAATTTACATACCCGAAAGGGGAACGGATAAGTCCGGGGGGGGGGTCGAGTCTATTCTCCTTTTAGACAGG